AAAAAATACACACTTGACTCTTAAAAATTGAGAGAGGTCAAGTCTTCAGTGATTAACCTACATCTTATTAGTGTCAAAAAGCAAAACAAAACCTAGACACACAGAAATACTCCACTTAAATACCAGCTTCTTATGCTCATGTTTATCAATTTCCTTAACGTCCAACCAGCTTCACCTTCAGTCCACCATGTACTCCATGACCTGGACTTTGCTGAGAATAGTTCATTATCCAAAGTCTTAAGCCCAAGTATTGTATTTCTGGCCACTCTGTACACCTTGTTGGGACCTCTAGTCTCTGTCTTCCTTGCAATCTCCTCTACCACCTCTTACTGCCTTTTTTGCTCTTTCTATTCAACCTAGAAACTAGTTTATCACTCTGTCACTCTCTCGCCAGTAACATCAGCACACGCTGCCCTTTTTCCCCCTTCATTTGGTCAAACCTTAGCCCTGGATTAATCCACCTGTCTGCCTTCCTGGCAAGTGAGCTCTGCAGAGGAGAATCACACACCATCCCAGACTGCTATTACAAAAATCTGTAGGCTATGACTTCCAGTGGAGCCCCACTCCTGGATCCTCAAGCTTTCCTTGTATTGCCAGCTGGCCTTTGGGCTTTCTTACTCTACAGTTCCCAAATCTCTGTCATCCTTAAGTTCTTTACCATGCTATTTCACATTCAACTCTCAGAAGGTGTCACTCAAAACTTCACAGAAAGCAAACAGAACCCTAGGAAGGACCATAGAGAAGTGAGTCAGACAGAGGAGTCCGGCGCTTGTCCCGCCCACATCCTTATGGGACAGTCACTGTCTCTGCCCTTCCCCTTCAAACTGCCCTACCAGACTGGCTAGCAACCTCGGTCTCACAAAATCCAGCGGCTTCTTTTCTAAACTTATTTCCCTAGATAGGCTTCTCTTGAAATCCTCTCTTGCTGTGGCTTCTTCAGAAAGCTCATATTCTTGGTTTTCCTTATGTTTATGGTTGTCTTTTCCAATCTTTATTTTAGGTTCCCTTTTCTGCCCATTCCTTATTTTCGATGATCTGCGTACTTCTCTCCACTCTAAGCACATTCTCTGGGTGTCATGGCTTACTTCCATGATGATTACTCCAAAACCCATTTCTACCTAGGAGCTCCAGATACCCACATCCAAATAGCGATCCATTATCTTCATTTAGGTGCCTCACTGACATCTCAGACTCAATGATGCTGCACTCAGCCTCTTTCCTGCCAAACTTGATTCTCTTTCCTCTGGTTCAGAGCTCAGCAAGTGATCCTTCAAGCCTCTGAGTTGCTAGGAACTTAAGAGCCTCCTTTAATTCCTTCTTCTCCTCCTACTCTGACATCCAACCAGTTATCAAGTCCTGTGTATTCTACCTCTGTCAAATTTGTCGAATGTGTCAACACTCCATCCTTATTCCCACATCTTGAGCACATATCAGCTTGGTTTTGTGCTTGGGTCCTTGAGCTCTGGTCCCCATTTTCCAGGTCTGTCTCTCTCCAGTGCATTCTTCACCCTATATCCAGAGGGATCCCATTATTCTCCAACTTAAACTTCAGTTTACATCTATTGCCACCAGGATGGAGCCAAGCTACTGTAGCTAATGATGCTGCTCTAGCTTATTTCTCAGGAAATGTTTCCTCTACTTCAGTTTCTCTTTAAGCATCCCTGTCCTATTGAGGCATCTGAAGTTCCCTGAATTCGCCAAATCCTGCCACCCATGAGCTTTTTATACACCACCCTGTTGACCTGAAACTCCTTCCCACTCCACTATTGTTCACTAGACTAATTCCCATGTGTCCCATGCCTCCATTCAGAGGTTCCTCCCACTATTTATGACTTCAACTGTGGGTCAGTTTTCTCTTTGTATCCACATAGCATCTTATAACAAGAATGACTAGCATAGTTGTTGCTAATAATACTTGTGTTAGTCACTCAGTCATGTCTGACTCTTTGTGACCCCATGGACTGTAGCCTGCCAGGCTCCTCTGTCCATGGAATTCTCCAGGCAAGAATACTGGAGTGGGTAGCCATTCCCTTCTCCAGGGGATCGTCCTGATCCAGGGATAGAACCCAGGTCTCCTGCATTGCAGGCAGATTCTTTACCATCTGACCCACCAGGGAAGCCCGCTTGAGCACTTATTTAATGCCAAAATCCCTAAGTCAACTACATATTTTACCTCATCTAATGCTTACAACACCCTTACGAGGTAATTAATACTTCCTCAGATAAGTAATCCAAGCCACAGAGAACTTAAATAATTTTCCCAAGTTTCAATGACTAGTGAGTGCTCCAAGTTGATTCTGAACCTAGGTTATCTTATTGAAGATTTTACAAACTTAAACATCATATATTTGTCCCTATGGAAATACTTATGACACTGTGTTGTAATCACTCACTTGAACCTAACTTCCTAATTGGAGCTTAGACTTTTTTTTTTGGACCTTAGACTTTTAGAAGGAAGTTGTAGTCCTAGCACCCAATACATATACTGTCATACGGTCATACATACTTTTCGACAAATACAAGAAAAAGGTTGCATGTGGTTCAAAGACAAAAGAGTCCTTGCTGAAAATCAGATTTACCCTGATTACCCTGAGATCACCCTTCAGCATCTGCCATCATGACATTTTTTCCTCCAAAATACCAAATCACTTTCAGTCATCTAATTACCCCATACAGTTTCATTTCCTGTACATTTCATGTATGTTTCCCACGCTTGTCCAACTGGTAAACTCATATTCATCCTTCCAAATCAAGCTCAGAATTCACTTTATTCCTGAGAGTTTCCAATCTTCATTTTAGCATTCAGAGGGTGGTCAAAAAATGTTTGATATATTGAATGGACAAAATTAAGTTGAGTTTTGTTTCTGTAGGTTACCAGAGAAATATCTCAAGCTCCAATACATCATGATGCTTTAGTTGACACCTACAGTGGCCAAGAATCAATCACTATTCAAGTTGTCCAACACAAGCATACTGGGATTCATTTCAAGAGGATATCACAGCACCTTATGCCTGTTTCACTTTCCTGAAATGGTTAAGGGTTTGGCAAAGGATATGTCATTTTTCAAATGTCACTTGAGTGGTTCCCACCAGACAAGTCACAAACATTTTAGGAAGGCAAGTCTGTTTTCATTTAGAGATAGATTAAAGAGGCCAAAGAAGTCTGTGTAAATTTATAAGATGTCGAACCACCAACTCAATCTCCTCAGGGGAAAACAACTGCAAAAATCTCCCAAAAGGTTCTTTTTCCTGTCACTTCTGTTTTAGTCCCCTTGTATTCCACCGAGATCTTAGCACTTGTCTTAGTCTAGTGATATCATATCTGAGCTTTCTGACTGTTCTACGTAACATGTGTCTTATTCCTCAAGCACACACCAAACCGCAGATGAGCTTGCTCAGAGCACTGCTTTCATCAAGTCGTTTCTCTGCTCTTGGTGGGCTCTCTTGGTGGTGCCTGACTGTGAACCAGGTGGGAACTCTGAGTCTAGAGATGCCACCTGCTGTCTTTCCATAATTGATTTGTGTAGAGCCTGACCCATGGCCCATCTCTGGTAAGTGCTTTTGATGTTTTCATTGCTTTTCCATTGTGTTATTGAAAGGGAAATCAGAAACTCTAGTTGAAGGAAAGTTCCATTTTGTGTCTTTCATTATTATCAATATTGGCAAATTACTGAGAGCAGATGCCTCTTGTTAAACAAAGACATCACATGTTAAGCACAGTAAACATGTAAAGCACAGGCTGAACATGTTAGAGAAAGCATCTTCTCAGAGGTCCCCTAATCCTAAATAAAACCAGTGTGTGAAGATGTAACAGGATATTTTCATTAACGATAACTTATAGAGGTTTCCAGGAGGGCCAAAGTAACTTCACAGCTGAAAGCTAAGTCATTGCTTCTCCACTGAACTAAGAGGAGTATTCAGCTATAAGCATAATCAAACAAATCCACAAGACACGAGAAGAGGATTATCCTGCAGACACCCGGTCCAGCATGCCAGGTGGCCAAGAACATGAGGTTCTCTGCTTGGAAACCGTCACTCTGTTGCCAGACTGTTGCCCCCTGGGTTCCCCCATTCTATTTCTGGCCTTCATCTCTTGTGCTGTCTCTTCACTGCCCTTTCTTGGTTTAGATTTTATGTCCTCAACATCTGACACATCAAAGGATTAGAGAGTTCAAAGCCCTTCTTGCTGCCAGTATTTCACTCAGTTAAAATCAACAAAAATGAAAAATTGTGCCCATTTTCCTCTCTGCAAGAAACCAAACTTCAAAATTAAGATGAAAGCATAAGATCCATGCAATTCAAAATTCAAACTCATGTCTTCACATCCATATGCTCTATTATGAACTGCACTACTGGATTTTATGGAGCAACTTTAATATCGCTGATTAAATATGCTCAAGACACTGCTAATGCATTCTCAAATCAACCTCGGCCACTTTGGAGTAACACAGAACATTGGCAGCTTTTCTTTAATATCCCAAATAACATTTTTGGAACAAATTTGAAGTTTTGATTCATTCAACAATTATATTGAGCACCTACTATATGTCAGATACTATGCTGGGTGCAGAACAAGCAAAATGGGATGATTTTCTGATTTCAGAAGAATTCCAGTCTCTAAAGCAGTGCTTCTCAAATTATTTTTATTCACCTGAGCCCTCTTTTGATTAACTTAAATATCCTTCTCCTGCTTCCCAGAAAGTCTAGTGAATATCCCAACACCGAGAATCACTGATACACAGACTCCAAGACCAAATGTCTTTGAGCCTTTACTTTTTGTTTCAAAAGCAACATATTTATTTTGCATACACAAACTGGATTGGAATATTAAGTATTATTTTTTGAACCGCATATGCGAATCGCCCACCCCAGAACTGAAATTCAAGTGCCTACTTAGCATCCGTGTTTGAGAATCACTGCTTTAAAGAGTTTTGGAGAAAACCAGGCAAGCTCCCTCTCTCCCATCCAATCAAGTCTTAAAGGAATTAGAATTTTCCTACCTGACACAACAGCTGGTGGAGTATCATAATCCTGTCTTGGGACTGAATCTTTGAATGAAAAGAGCATGAGAAAGAATGCAATGAAGTCCAAAAGAAAATAAAATAGAATCTTAGCTCTACAACTTGGAAGTGCTCGCTGTATGTCACACGGTACCTAAGGCGCCTGCCTTGAAGCCCTAGGGTGCTACGCCCTCCTAGTTGACAGCTGACACAGTGATCCCCCAACAACCACCACTCTGGACATGTCATTAGGCCCCATGTGACCTGCAAGGACAGCATTGTCTGACCCAGATATTGTCATCTTCCTCTTTCGTAATTTTGGTCCCTCCCTTGGGTCATCAATGTGAGATTGGTACCCTCTCTGGCTGACACCAAGGCTGCTCATCAGGAAGGGGCCGGGAGCACAGTATGAAACCCCAGTCATGGAGAACAAAAGAAATAACTATAATTTTAAAAGAAATAGATTTGGGCACATTCCCCAAATCTCTGGAGGCTGACATGTTTTGAAGCTAAAATTTTGTTATTGACCATTTCTCTCCGGCTCTGTTCCCAGGGATGGTCGATCGAGACCGAGGAGCCTCATGTGCTAGAACCATCAAGACAGAGACAAATAGAAATGAATCTATTCAACAAATGGCCACTGTCTTTTTCCAAAGTATCATAACATTAGAGGTGCCAATAGTAGATCAGGGTTAATTAAACAACTAGATACCCATTTCAAAACTTGAGATGATGCAGGACCAAATATAACACTATAAAAAAAGAGGCTTTGCCTTCATACCATTTCTTTAGCCAGAGATCTCAAATAGCAAAGTGGGACATAGCTTATGGCTCAAGGCCCCCACTTCTAAAAATGGACATTTCTCATTTAGTTCCAGCTCCCCTTGGAGGGGTAAGCTGTGTAAAAGGGACCAGGTATTGCAGAATATACTGCCCAAACATGATTAAATAGATGTGCTTGCGAGACCCTTATTCCATTCATATGATCATTATTCCATTTAGAAAATGAATTCCATTCAAACTTTATTTTTCCACCTACTTGTCACTTAATTTGGACCATCACAAATTTCTCCATTTCATCTCCCTGACACAAAATGACAATGTTGATCACTCTCTCATGAGTGAATGGTATGTGAGAAAAGAGAAGTTGAACAATGCGAGGCGAGCCAGGCAAGCATTGATCAAAGATCCAAATGCAAGTAAACCTTCAATACAAGTTATTCTGTTTCTCACAACACTTATGTTAACCTAGTGACTTGATTATAATCCCTAAATCTAGAATCTATAAACATCATTTTCAAAGGGTCTCCAAATATTTTATTAATAGCGGTAGTAAAATTCTAAGTATCTTAAAATAAAACTAACTGCATATTATTACTACAAACAAGACTACTATGACACTAATCATTTTTCAAGAACATATTTATAACATTTCAAAATGGATAAAAAAGTCATGCTCATTGTTGAATACTTGGAGAATGTAGAAAAGGATCATGATTGAAATAGAAACTCTCTGTAAGCCCACCACTCAGAAACCAATCCCACTTGTTTGTATTTGTTACAGCCTTATTTCACAAGTATTTTTTCATAGTTGATATTATACTCCACACGTGCAAATTTACATCCTGCTCTTTTGATTGAACATGAGAAATAATCCTTCCCCTAATTATTTTATATGCTTATAATTTCATGCTGCATTGCATTCTGGTTTATGGATGGGCTATGATTTATTTAATCATCCTTTCTTACTAAAGATTACAATAAACAATGGGCTGAGTATTTTAAAGATATGGTTTTTGTTATACTAGAATATTTTCATAGAATAGGTGCTCAAGACTATAGCCACTGCGTTGGGGAAGAAAGTGTTTATGGTGGGTCTTGTGGGCCCACCCTGGTCTCCAGTTCACACATTTATAAATTTGGATTCCAACCATCAGAGTACCATGACTGAGACTATGTATCTCCCGACACCTTTGTCAGCAATGTGCATTATTTTAATAACTTTATTTAATGAGTTCCTTGTGTGTGTGTGTGTCTGTGTGTATTGGGTTAATTTACTGTTCAGTTATTTTTCAACTATCTGATCACATTCTTTGGAATTTTATATACTGGGAACTTTGTATTTTTAGCTTATTTATTGGAATTCAGAATCCATTTTTTTTAAACAGTGAAAGCTTGCCTTACTATTTGCAAATAAACTTTCCTAAAACTAGACTTTCACTGAATGCCTACTTGTTTATTGTTTACACTGTAAGACTAACTTCAAAACCTCACTTGTCTTATAAGAAGACTAAACAAATTTTTAAAAGCTATTCCCTTTCCTCTATACTTTCTTTCTTATATAACCATTTTTAACTGATTGATACTTTTCCTGAAAAATCATCTCAGGAGATGTACTCATGACCACTTACAAATTTATGATACTCTTTCCTAATCATGAGTCCATTTAACATCATGTATTGGTTTTTACCACTCTGCCTCAATGCTTATATTCCTGGATGATAATTGAAAGAATTTAAAAGCATAATGGGAAGGATGATGCCACTGAAAACTGTGAGAGAACTGTGCTGAACAAGTCAAGAACAATTACAAGATTATCTTTGTCTGCCGCTAGGATTATGCCACCAGAATCCAATGATGTCACAAGTCACCAGTGGTTTGCAGACACAAACAGAACTGCAGATAAGGAGCCTGCAGAACAAAACCTTTTTATTTCTTTCAGCAGATTCTGGTGACATTGGAAGCCACTGGTGACCACCAACTGAACAAATGAAAAGGAGATAAGAAACTTGTAAAACAAGATTGTCATGCAATCTGGAGGTTCTCATAACAGTAAAAACCCCCAGTGGTTGCTGCTAAAGCTTACAATAGACTGATAAGAAATTATGGGTAACAGGGCTTCGGTTCTTGAGGGAATCCTGTGACAAAAAATAAACAAAGGCAGAAAAAGCTAGAAAATTCTTCAAGGTCAGCAGAGCCCTGGAATAAAACAGTTACACTGCTTGCATAAAATTCATCTTTCTTTTAAGGCCTGCAGATTCTGTCCAGCTTAGAAAAGAGGTAGGGGATTGAATGATAAACATTTGAGGTGGCAAATGGTAGAAAAATGGTTAATTAAACTACATGGCATCCATTTTACAATGTGGGGTTCTGGGGGACCAAATATATTTAATTTGATGAAAAAGAAAAAGTCTTTGACTCAGTATACTTCTGTTACCCAGGGATCTTAGGAAAGAAAGTGGGACAGAGCGTCAGGCCCCCCTCCTGAAAATGGAGAGTTCTACGGTAGCTCCAGGTCCTATCAGCAGTGAACGCTGCCTCCTTGGGTTATCCTCCGGGCCTCTCTGCTCTGCCCCTGGACACTATGTCTGGAGTTGAGGTTCCTGCCTTAATCTTGACATGGCCCTGTTCACACCTTGTTTTGCAGAATTGCAGTGACCTCAGATGTCTGAAAGCCTCCGGAAAATAACAGTAGGAGAGAGACATGGTTGAAGACTTTCAGGTTGCCTGGCTGGGGCAACATGGCAGGGAATGGAGTAAGTTGAGATGGGAAACAGGAAAAAGAGTTAGGGAACTATTATACTTCATCGAGCGAGGTCCAGGGCGGAGCCTCTAGGATGTGGAGGTGAGAATGCAACTGACAGATGTCTGCGGGACCTGAAAAGTAACTGTCCATGGAGGGGATTAAGGAGAAAATGGTCTATGCTGGGTCCTAGGTATGATGCTGGACTTCCAGGGTGAGTGGCCACGGGACCAGCTTGAGGGGGAGTAGGAGCGGGGCCCTATACAAGAAAGGCTCAGTGGGGAGGAAGCTCGGGAGGCTCCTTTGGGTTGTGCTGACTTTGAGATGTTGGAGGGGAGGGTCACATGGAAATATTTAGCAAGTGCTGGGAAATGAAACCAGAATTCTGAGATGATGTTAGCCCTGGGGACTCAGATAGCAGAGTCTTTGGCATAGAAGGCAGAGTTCAAAACCGTCCAGGTGGAGGAGTTTGCTTAAGGAAATCACGTATGAATGAGGAGCTAGTTTAAAAACTTACCCATCAGCCTAGGAGAGAAAAGAGGAAGCAGTGGCCAGAGAGGTCAGAGGAGAATCAAGAAAACCTTGAGCAGGACTCACAACTGAGAGCTCTCAGGACCAGCTGGGTCCAATATTCAAATATAGGGAGATTTCCCGTTAAAATCGAGACAGTTAGCTTATCTAGTTCCAAGAACTAGAGGGTGGGCCACTTGGGGTCTGTATGCCCATGTGGTTATAGCATCTGGATTGGGTCTGGCTGCCCTCTTTGGAAGAGGAACTGTGTTGCCGGCTGCCAGAGGCAGCGTCTTGCTACCAACTCATCCAACATGCAGGCAGAGCTCTTACGATGACTACATTCAAAACTATCTCTAATTTAAAATATATTTCCAGTATTGTGGGTATTTATATTACACGGCTATGTGTGACATAGGTAAATACAGACCAAATTTGATGATATATTGCCAGGATTTGGGGCTTGGGCTTAATCAGCTTTATTCATTAAAGTGGCTTGGCTGGTCTCTGTACCTTTTGGGTTTACAGCCTGAAAGAGTATGTTAGAAGCTATGGAAGCGGAAACTGGGAAAAAAGTAAGTTACATCAAATGAAACAGAGCAGCCAGGGAGTTGAGCTGTGGACTTGACAGTGTCCGACATCCTCTGGTGACCTGGACAAGTTAGGAGCCACTGGAGGGAGAGGGGTGGGGGTGTGGCTCCTTTGAGAAGCATCTGCTGGGTAGCGACACATTGTATTGTGTATGTTTACATATCTCATCCCACTGACACTCACAACACCTCTGGCATATAAGTCTCACAACACCTCTGGCATATAAGTATCATTCTTCCACTTTGCAAAAGAGAAAGTAGAAGTTCAGAGAGGTTAGGTAATCTGTCTGAACATGCACAGCTAATAAGCAGCAGAGGTAGGTTTTAAACTCAACTTTAATCTCAATACCAACTATTCTTTCCATGACATCAGGCCACCTTCCCAGCAGTGGATGAGGTGTATTGAAAATACGTGATAAGGTGGTGAAACTTGATTAAAGAGAATCAACCTTAATTGCATAAGAGCTACTTCAAATGCCAATCAAAAATTTAGATAGAATGAATCTATGATATCAGAGTAAAGAGTGACAGCTTAAGAAACAAGTATAACTTCATGCTGGACACTCAGCATTGTCAGTGACATTTTGTGGAATAAATATACAAATTAATACTGTTTGTACTCTGCCTTTTCCAAACCTTATGAAACTTTAAACTTAAACAATAATTTATACAAAGCTTATTATGTATTTAAGCATTAGTACAAATGTGAAGGAGAAAAATAATTTTTTAAAAAGCTAGAAGAAATTTGATGTTAAATATAAGCCACATGCTTAAACGTTTGCTTTCTAAGAAAGGAAAGAGTATATATCAATTATTGAATAAGTTGGCTATTACCAGCTGGGCAAAATTGTATTCTTGTTGAAAATGCTCAAATACTAGCCATAATATACATTAGAGAATCAATAACTATTGTAATTGTGAATTCATGCTCTATAATTGAGCTTATTTTTCAGTTGCTCAAAGGATTCAGTCATGTTCTCAATTAACATTTTTTTTCTAGTTTCCAAATTTGCATTTCAAGAAGTCAGCAGGCTTTGCTTCTGATTCCAATGAGTAGAGTTTAAAAAGTGTTTTCTTTTTATGCTTTGCATTATAATCCTCCTCACTTACCAGATTTGTCATTCGATTGCAGTAAAAGTGTATTAGATCATTTATTCATAATTTGTGAACATTTAGGAGGGGAAATGGAAATCAACAATAGGGCATGAGAAACTTCAGGCCTTCCAATACTGTCCTGGGATCTGCTTTGTTAATGAGCAAAGTGACTCCAAAAAAAAAAAAAAAAAACACATTGCTAAAAGCTACAGAAATAGTATCTTTAAATTCTTCATTCCTAATGAAAATTAGCTGAACCATGTTGCAGAATGAAACATAGTCATAGACATGACTTTTAAAAGTCTGGTTCAGAAACCTAAAGAATCATCTGATTGAGTCTAAGCCTTCGGACACACGAGGTATCAATGACTGCTTTTTATAGGTTCAGCAATGGAGGCCTTCCAGGTGGGTACTTTATGTCAAAAAATTAAATTTCTTTATTGAAACTATGGGACTCTTTCTGTTAGGTATATTGACATTCCTCCTACTTAGAGCAGATTACTGAGGCCTCAGTGGACATGTCAGAAGCTTCTTATATCCTCAAAAGCCTGAGAGTCAACATCTCTGTGCAGTAAACAAGCCATTGCTTTAAGGTAAATCTCCAATATAAAGTGAATGTACCTAGTGTACATGGGTGTTTGGAGATGATGTCAGTGTGACTGAGGGGAATCACAGGAGTGGTGACCATGAGATATACAAAGTCACAGAGGCTTATGGCTTACAGCTTATAGCGCCCTGTGCTCAACATTTCAACTGTATGAAGAGGGACATTGAGACCAGGAGACTGTCTCACAGTATTGAAGCTGTCTCGCTCAGAAGATATGTCTTGTTTTTCGTCCTCTTTAAAAATAACAAAATTATCTGCATTAACATTTATGAAAAATAAAAACTGTTATAGGGGAGATTGGTTTTACAGTTTTTATTGTTTCTATAATGAAGGAAATTGCAATATTCCATGTTGTATTGGACCTGTGCCCTCTTGACCACTTGGGGAACTGTCTTCAAAAAGATTTTTTAAAAAACAAAGTTTTGCCAATGATTTCAAATACCTTGTTGATACAAAAGTAAGGCTGCAATGGACATTTCTTGATATATTTTGTTTCCTAAGAAAAAATAATGGCTAATCAAAAACTTCCTGACCTATAAATACATCAGGTACATTAGATTCCTTTCCTTTTTTTTTCAACATCACCTATGTAGACATATTTGAAAGAAAGATGAAAATAAATCAGTTATGTGAGGTTCTCAATTACATTTTGTTTCTACAAACATTGAAAGCAAATAAAAAACCCCGTGTATTAGCTATAATCAAAGTTGGCTCCCCTCTTGGGAATAACCTGGGGCTGCTGTGAGCTGAAATCATAAACACCTAAGAAGGGAAAACTAGGCTCCAGTGTATTCAGTTACGAGGTCTAAAGCAGACATACCTGGGGCATGGCATCATTAGAACTTTCTGTAAGTCAAATTTAAATGCAGCAAAGTAGAACCTTCAGCCTTATCAATGTGAGTACACGTGCCCCAGAACTGTGCACGCAGAGTGCGGTATATTCATACTGGGACCTAAAAGGCGGGTTCGTCAAGGGTGCAGAATCCACTCTGATGATGTTGCCGATAAGAACAGAAAGCATTGCCTCTTACTGATGAAATCCAAGGAAACAAACTCTGCAACTCACCGTTCCTGTGGTACCCAACGAAAGGTGGTTCATCTGCTGTGTCAGGGGGCCCATCATGTTTGCTGGCTGCATTGACATCGGATGATCCATCGCTGGCGTAATCACAGCACCCTACAAGCACACACAATGTCCATCTGAAAACATGTCTCATAACGAGGGAAACTTACAAAAATAAGTGCAGTAAACTGCATTATCACACATGCTTCTTACTGAAAAGTCTACACCGAACCCCATATGATTTTTACATCCATCCGTGTCATCCTGTGCTTCTCTAAATATAAAAGAATATAAATATTTCTCTTGATACTGAGTAAGACTTTTAGCTTCTATCATTTACCCATGATTTATATAGAGAATTCTTGATCACGTCAATACATCCTTCCACCAGGGGAATAATGCCAGTCCACACGGGCTTCCTAACCAGATATCTTTAAAGGACATATTCAAATCAATGTAATGCTATAAAAATCAAAGTTACTGTCTCCCATATTTTCTCCTCATCTTTTGACCTACTTTGGTTTCTCTATCTGTGCTTTTGACACAAGACAGAAGACACAGAATTCTGTTCAATGCTGGACAAATGCAACGCAGCAAAAGTTTTTTAAAACGCAGAAATATCAAGTGTTTCATCAGGTGTTAGGAAGGGCCTACATCTAGAATGTGCCCTTTGATTTATCATAACCGTCAGCAATGCGAGAAGTAATAGACGTTTTAGAAAGCTTCTGTCCATACATAAAGTGTCACATGGCCTGTGAAGCGCAGAGCCAGGCCTTACTGCCTTCTCTTATTTCCCTCTCTCCTTCTCTTCTGCCTTAATTGACTAACTTAGGGTTTCCCGGCGGCTCAGACAGTAAAGAATCTGCCTGCAATGCCGGAGACCCAGGTTTGATATCTGGGTTGGGAAGATCCCCTGGAGAAGGGAATAGCAACCCACTGCAGTAATCTTGCCTGGAGAATCCCATGGATGGAAAAGAACCTGGCGGGCTACAGTCCATGGGACTGCAAAGAGTCAGACACGATCGAGCGACTAACACACACAGAGAATGGAGCGATCTTTTTAAAAAGAAATTGAAAAGTTGGGGTTGGATGGGATTTTTGAGATTATCTAATTCCAATGCTTTATTTTAAAGGTGATAATAAAGGCAGAAGCTCATGCTAAAATAGCTCATTTAAACATCCAGTGAGTCGGACACGACTGAGCGACTGAACTGAACTGAGCTGAGTAGTAAAATGATTATGAATCTGAATGACATTTTTTCTGTAAACTTGATATTTCTATGTGACTTTTTCCTCTATAAGTAAAAATTTTGAAGAAATAAAAATAGGACAGACAGGTTCATGTGGATGACAGGATCTCAGTACCTAAAGTAATTGCCCACAAGCACACATGTCCTAAAATGCCTTGGCTCAGAATAATCAGTTTCTCACAATATTATTCAAATCTAGCTCCCTGACTGTGGCTGGTAAAGGATCAGACTGTTACTCAGCATTCCTATGGGCTCCTCCTCACTAGAGAAGGAAAACAGAAATTGAACCATATGTTTTTAAATGATTGATATACAGAGCTAGGTTTGTTCTCAAAAGCATTTGGACTTTTGACCTAGAATCAATCAAAACAAATTTGTTATTTTCTAATCTGCGGCTTGTAAACAGACGCCTACTTAATTGTAATTCACAGACACATCACTTTTTGTTCGTGCTGCCTGAATTTAACAAAAGCATCTTCATTTTCTCCTTATAAATAACATACTGGCCTTTATTTCAGGTATTTATTGTACCAAACTATCAGTAAATGGGCTTCCCTGGTGGCTTAGATGGTAAAGAAAGAATCAGCCTGCAATGCAGGAGAACCAGGTTCAATCTTGGGTTGGGAAGATCCCCTGGAGAAGGGAATGGCAACCCACTCCAGTATTCTTACCTGGACAGTCTCATGGACAGGGGAGCCTGGCGGGCTACAGTCCACAGGGTAATAAAGAGTTGGACACGACTGAGTAAGCAACTTTCACTTTTCATCAGTAAATACTTCAAGAACTAAGATGTTCTTAAATTACTTAGAGATAAACTATAGAATAATTTCAGAGTTAAGATAAGTCCTAAAGTGTTTTTTCCAACCAAAAAGTGGCACTTTCACAACATTATAATCCTTAGCAGGCGAGAGACTTCAGTACTCTTCTTGAACTTGAGACTTAGACTCTTGTCCTAGAATATTTCCCCTTGAGGTTCTGACACACAGCTGACTGTGTCAGTTTGGAAACGCCACAATTCTAATCGGCTTGCTTTAGTCACATAAAGAATCGTTCATCGTAAGTCAGAGATAAGGGCCAAATTATGTTTGGCCAGGATAGCTTCTTCCCAGCGCCCTAGGGGTGACCTCACTCCTGAGTGGAGTGAGAGGTAGTCTTGTGTCTTTTTGGTGGTGGCAATATGTAAATGAGACAGGGTGAGCCTGTGACAGGTAAATCAAAATCTGTGCAGGATTGACTGCCTCCATTTGGGATTAATTTCAGAAGAACTATCTGGTCCCTTTAGAGAATCTTTTCAGGGAGGGTGTTCGGGGACTCATTTGATTACGGATGTCACTGCTGCTTCTGTGTATAAACCAGAAATCTGACAATCAAAGGGAAGGCTGGGGAGGGATGTGTCATCATTTAGAATTGGAAATAACTGCACTTGGCACATAGTGGAAGACAATGTAAGGGGAACAATCCTAACCAGACCAGTTACTGAGAATAAAATGAATGAGAAACTAAGGCTTCTTGGAGGGGGGTGTGGTATTTAGGACTCACAGCCTTGTTCTGATTTAGTAAAAATGTTCAAGAAATTCAGGATTCCCACAAATGATTAATTTCATACATTTCTTAAGAGTCTCAAGGGCTGGAAGATATTTACAAGCAGTGAGTAAGCTGGAAATAGCAGACAGGAAGCCCTTGGGGAAACACACTGTCTTGATGGTAACTTTATTGGGGATAGACAACTTAGGGAGTAGGAAGTGTTGGTTATCTATAACAAAGAGTGGGGTTTGTCAGCCACTGTGTTCATCAACTACAGTTCAACTATAGAATCTCTTCTGTATTATGTAAGATACAAAAGAATGGGGGAGAAAAAATAACAAAAAAGGAAATGAAAAATCTACGATTGTTAAGGCAAAACTATAATCGTGCCTCATTACTGTCAAATCCCTTCCTATGGATGCATTTAAGCCATAGATTGAAGAGTGTTTTGTGACAGATGTCGCAAATACATTAAAGGTAATTTCATTTATTCAAATGTACAGAATATGCTGTCTGAATGAGTTTGGCTGGGAAATGCAAAGCGAAAGGAAACATACTTTTCATTTTAGCATTTCTGGATGTCTGGGTTTGCTCAATGTTTAAGCTGCAAAGAAAAATACTGTAACATGCTGCAGTTCCCCTAAAAAGCACAGTGACCAGACAGCTGACGGGAATGTCTGGTCTGTCTTAGCCGCCTCCTCTGCAAAATGGAGCGGCTCACACTAAAGAGATGTAGGGTGGAGCTGGTTGCCCTAATTCTGAAATAAACAGTTTCAACAGGAATTTGGAACAAGTTTCCAAAGATCATTGATGTGGAGTAAACATATCTGACCTGAGGCCAGGAAAGCACATGTGGTGTTAACCTCCTGCCAATGTTTGAAAGAAATTTTAAGTCTAGGAGAGTTCAACAATGTTTTAATTTTCCAATGGAAATATGGGATCATTGGTGAATTGGGAAAAACACCAGTAAGGCTCTTTCCCGTCAAGAACACACATAGGTGGTTTAAATCCTACATTAATGCTAAGATATGGCCTACAATGAGAATTACGTGGATGAATGTTCCTGTGATTGCCAATATTCTGGGCCAATGCCACTTTAAGTATGATTAAGAATTTAAATTAGAATCTCTAGACTTCAGGCATTGAAATCAGTGTTTTAAAAAACTTTCCAAATAGTTCTGATGCCCCCTGATATTTGAGAAGTGCGCTCTATTAACTGCTATTATATAAGCCAGTGTTACAAACACTTGGGTCTTAGTTATGCTGTTTCTCAATGATTTGTTTTAAACCAGTCCTGTGATAGGGCATGAGCCTTTGTGTAATAATTAGATTACATCCTGATTAAAAATGCAAAGAGGTCAAGCCAGCATTTTTGATGAGCTGAAATGGGGCGATTATCTGAATAATTCAGGCCTCAGTCTGATGACCTGACATGCTTCTCTTTGATCAGTTTGTCTTGTGTTGGGGCACATTTAAGAATCCTTTCTGTTGGGAATCTTAGGGAGCCTTGAATTTGAAATCACAGAAATGTAAAAATGAAAGATAGAAAAAGTATTTGTTAACATAAGTGAAAAAAAAAAAGGAAAATAAATATCACTTTCTTTTCCCCTCTTGTCCAATCTAGGTGTCTCAGGTCAGAATGTTTGCAGTCCAAACCGGTATATATAGGATGGATAACAAAAAGGTCCTACCATACAGCACAGGGAATTATATTCAATATCCCAGGCTAAATCATAAGGGGAAAAAATATGAAAAAGATCTTTATGTTCCTTCAAAAAACAATGTTTACAGCCTGTATTGTGATCTTTTCCTATGGTCACTTATGCCAAACCATAGGACTTGTTAGTAGTAATCATTCAACACGATTTAAAAAAACATAATTTAGAGTGATTTGTCTTCTTTCTCATCTGTGTGCTTTCTGCCTCTCAGTTTTTAACATTTCTAGAATAAATATCTAATGGGGTTTGTGTACACCAGACTCCTTTTTTAGCCCCTGTGAAGTGGCTCCCCTGGTGGCTCAGATGATGAAGAATCAGCCTGAACGAGGGAGACCAGGGTTTGATCCCTGGGTTGGGAAGATCCCCTGGAGGAGATAATGGCAGCCCACTCCAGTGTTCTTGCCTGGAGAATCCCCATGGACAGAGGAGCCTGGCGAACTACAATCTCTGGGGTCATAGAGAATCAGACATGGCTGAGTGAGCACAAGTAGAGAAAATGATATATGCTTACACATATCATTCTAGTAGCAATGATGCTTTCATAATAAAAATGGCTTAGAGGCATTTCACTTAACTTGGGAAACAGCTATCCAAATGTATTGCCCTATGATATGAGTG